AAGTTCAGATTCTTTGGAAGTTCAAAATCTCAAATCGTACATCGCGGAGGACGACGATGTCGTTATTCTGAGGCCGGCCGGTGGGTTCTCCGCTCTCTGGAGTGGGTTCTCCGTTCTCAACTTTCACGATGGGGACGAGCTCAAGTCGGAAGAGGACGATTGATTTTTAGTAATAAAAAAGACACCATTTTTGGATCGACACACCATCACCATCCGCACAATGGGATGATCCCACAGGACCAATTCGATTGAATTTCTTCATTTTAGCTGATTCTTCATTCTAGCTAATTCTTTACAGAACCAATTCGATTGAATTTGGAATCGATCGAGATTCATGTGAAGCAACTCCTTGTACAATTTTACACTATCTCCTTGTCCAGCGTTGGAAATGTTTTGTTTGGGCCGTATATGACCCTCTGCCCCAACTCCGCCCAGACGCCCATGGAAAAACGGGTACATAACGACATACTACGTATATAAAATCAAAAATAGGAAAATTACACCTATTAGAAAAAACAAAGCTGAGATGGGAGGATCCATCTTTAATACTCCATATAATTAAATCAATTAATGTGTGTGAGTTAAAACAAATACTTCCTCCGTCCCAATTTGTAAGATACTTTACGCTTTACGATGTTTGACCGACGATAAAACAAATTGATCCCTGTCAACACTCAAATTAGTTTTAGAAAATAAAATTTACATATTCAGAAACTACATTAAAACTGCTACAAAACCTGCAAAAAATAATTCTAATTTCATAAACTTTTGCTATATAAAGTAAAAGATTAAATGTGATTTATGTTGACCAAGTGAATAGTAAATGTATCTTATAATTTGGGACTGATGGAGTAATATCTATTCGTAATTTATGATCAATATGATTACATTTTACTATTAAACGTAGTTCATATACAAAAAAAAAGGATGACACCTCATCCCTGAGGGCCCCCCAACCCCGACCGGACAGTACGTTGGGAGGATGTAAGTTGGACTATAATCTCAATCTGAGAGATAGAGAGTGGGGTTCTGTCCCCGATACTTGCAGAGGCCCTATGCATTTTTTAGCATAGTAACCCCTCATCGCAGTTGCCGGGATTCGAACCCGGGACCTAACCCTTGTGGCACTCCCTTCCTACCAGTTGAGCTACGCCCACCGGTACGTAGTTCATATACACATATGTACGTAGACTGTAGTAACACTATTGAAATTAATTAGGCTAAAAGCATATAGACTTAAAAATTTAAAATGTTTTCACTTGTACATGCACTGGTCTTCATCTATTTAAATATGATCGTATTAAGGATATTATTTTATGTAATCAAAAATAATTATTAAATAAGTGTTTAAGGAGTTTATTACTTATTGGGCCTTAAGGAGACTCCTTAGGGAACCCTAACATCTTGTATATAAATACTCTTTCATTAAGAAATAAACGCAAGGTTACAAACCCAATTATTATTCAATCTTTCACATGGTATCAGCCTAGGTTTTCTCACCTTCCGCCGCTGCCCTCATGTCTGACTCGGATGAGGATCCCTCCATACGTGACATGCAACGTGATGAGAACTCCGGCCATCCTCTTTCCCTTGCTTCCGGCTCCACGGCACCCCTTTCTATTAATCTACCCAAAATCAATATTCTTCTTGATCGCTCCAACTACATGCTATGGCGTCAAACAATTCACTCGGCTCTTGAAGCTTTTGAGCTTGATGATTTTCTGTCTTCTCACTCCATGCCATCGCAACTTCTTCCCACGGCCACACCTTCTACACCTTCCCAGGATGTCAATCCTGCATATCTTTCTTGGAGGAAGAAAGATGGTCTCATTTTATTGTGGATTCGATCCACGCTGACTATGCCGCTGCTAGCCCATGTTGTTCGTGCCACAACCACCCATGAAGCATGGGACATTCTGTCCAGAATGTTTTATTCACAAAATCGGGCAAGACGTATGCATCTCAAGACTCAGCTTCAACAATTTCCCAAAGGTGACTTATCCATTCTTGAGTACGTCGAGAAGAAGCGTTCCTTTTCGGATGCCCTGGCCGAATGTGACTATATTGTTCCTGACGATGAATTTGTTGAAAGCATTCTTCACTGTCTCGATGCCTCTTATTCTGCTTTTCGCAGTGCCTTCAATTTGCACACTGATGTTATTACCTCCAGCGATCTTCTCGGCCTCTTGTTGCGTGAAGAGGAGCGACTCAACTCGTAAAAACTGGCTCCATTAACGGCCACTGCCCTTGCAGCAACCACGTCGGGAAGTACTACTTCCTCTGCTCGTGGGTCTACTTCTGAAACCGGTGCTCGCCTCATTTGTCAAATCTGCCAAAAACCAGGACATGAAGCCATTAACTGCTGGCATCGGGCGAATTTTGACTCCTTCCCTGAAACAAAACCAAGGCAGCAGCCCAGGCGCGGTCAGCACCGTCGTGGACAGTTGCAGCGATCGGGCTCCAGTCGCGGCTCCTCACAGTCACCCACGCCTACGGCCTATCATTCCCAGCCTTCTCCTCCTGCCAATTTTCTGTCACCTCCTGCCCGGCATGCCTACACTGTTCAAAATCCTCCTTCCACTATAGTTGATCCTTGGTGTTTTGATTCCGGTGCAACGAATCATGTCACGGCAGACTTTGGTAATCTTTATGTTCACTCTAATTACTCTGGCAATGAAGGATTACAAGTTGGTAATGGTATGTCTCTTCCCATAACTCACTTAGGACATTCGACTTTACAAGCATCGCATGCTCCCATTCATCTTAATAACATTCTCTTTGTTCCTCACATCAAGAAAAATTTACTTAGTGTTTCTCAACTAACCCGTGATAACAATGTTTATATGGTCTTTTATCCCACTTGTTGTTTTGTTAAGGACCTCCAGGGACGGACGTTGCTCACAGGACGCGTTGAGAACGAACTATATCATCTCCAACAACCCTTGGACAAGCCCATTTCTCCTCGCATTTATCTTGGTGAAAAGACGTCTCTTCAAACATGGCATCATCGCTTTGGACATCCCCACGAGTCATCTTTACGTCGTTTAGTCTCTCGTTTTAATTTACCTGTTTCCAGTAATAAATTACACAAACTTTGTGAACCTTGTCACTTAGGGAAAAGTCATAGACTTCCCCTACAACGTTTACATTCCTCTAGTTTACATCCCTTTGATTTAATATATTCTGATGTGTGGGGACCTGCACCCATAACCTCTTTTAATGGAAGTAAATATTTTGTTATTTTTGTTGATGATTGCACAAAATTTGTTTGGATTTCCTTTTTACACCAAAAATCTCAAGTTCTTTCTATTTTTCAATATTTTCAAGCTATGATTACCACTCAATTTAATACTAAAATCAAACAATTTCAATCTGATTGGGGTGGTGAATATAGATCTGTTTCCTCATATTTACAAACGCAAGGTATTATTCACCGTGTTTCCTGTCCTCACACTCAATCCCAAAATGGGGCAGTAGAGCGTCGCCACCGTACTATCGTTGAAAAAGGCTTGGCCCTACTCGCTCATGCTAATATGCCTCAATCATTTTGGGAACATGCTTTTCACACAAGTGTGTATTTGCATAATCGCACGTTAACCCCGCTTTTAAAAGACAAATCCCCCTTTGAATGTTTATATGGCAAACCACCCGACTACTCCTTTTTAAAATCCTTTGGGTGTCTTTGCTATCCTCTTTTACGTCCATATAATAACTCAAAACTTGAGTTTCGCTCTTCCCCCTGTATTTTTATTGGTTATAGTTCACAACATCGGGGTTATCAGTGTCTTCATGTTCCTACAAACCGTATCTATATTGTCCGCCATGTTGTGTTTGATGAGACGTCCTTTCCGTACCAACTTCACGTCCACCATCCACCCCCCACTGCTGCCCCACCCTCCTCCCTTCCCTCTCTACAGCCGCTGCGACTGGCAGCCTCAACCCCACTGGCCGATAACTACCAGCCGCCTCCACCTCCCACCAGCCCTCTCACTAATGCCTCCTCATCACCCAACCATCAAACCACTGCCTCCCCTCCACTGTCCGACAGGGAACCATTTACTCTACCCGCGGCCAGTCCGTCTCCATGCTCCAGTGATGCCCCTCCGTCTCCGCCAGGTCCCAAGCAAAACGCAGGTATCCCTCCTCACTCTATTCCCACCTATTTTAGACCTGTTGACACTTCAACTCAGTCTATGGTCACCCGCTCAAAAACGAACACCCTCAAACCCAAGACTCGTTTGTCTACCAAACATCCTCTTACTATACCCGCATCTATTCCTATTGAACCCAACACTTTTTCTCAGGCCTCCAAATATCCTGAATGGCAACATGCAATGCAGGTTGAGTACGATGCTCTAATAAAAAATGGGACTTGGGATCTTATCTTACCTCCTCGTAATTCTAACATTGTTGGTTGTAAGTGGGTGTACAGGGTCAAAAAGCACGCTGATGGCACGATTGAGCGCTACAAAGCTCGATTGGTTGCAAAGGGCTTTAATCAGGAAGAAGGAGTTGACTACTCTGACACTTTTAGTCTGGTGGTAAAACCCACCACAATTCGTATTGTATTATCTCTTGCTCTCACTTTTGGTTGGAAGTTACGACAGGTTGACATTGCCAATGCTTTTCTTAATGGGGATCTCAGTGAAACAGTGTATATGGCTCAACCTCCTGGCTTTGTGGATCAATCTCGTCATGGGCATGTGTGTCTCTTGCGCAAGGCATTATATGGTCTCAAGCAGCCCCTCGCGCCTGGTTCCATAAGCTTCGTCAGTATCTCTCTCATCATCATTTCCGACCCTGCACATCGGATACATCACTTTACATTCGACGCCATAATGGTACCACTCTCTATGTTTTAGTTTATGTAGATGACTTAGTCATCACTCGTTCCAATTCTTCTGAGATTGATGCCTTTGTCACTAGTCTCAATGCTACATTTACTTTACGTGACCTGGGTGACTTGCATTACTTTCTTGGTATTGAATTACATTGATCCACTTCATCTATCTTTTTGAGCCAGCAGAAGTACATCACAGAACTGCTTATTCGCAGCAAAATGCAGGATGCCCGATCTATTCTCTCCCCTGCCGAACCAGGTTCACGACTCTCGGCCTCAGGAGACCCAATGGATGATCCTCATCTCTACCGCAGCATTGTTGGTGCCTTGCAATATGTTACTATCACTCGGCCAGAGATTTCTTATGCAGTTAATCGTGTTTGCCAATTCATGCATGCTCCCACAGTAACTCATTGGCAAGCTGTCAAGCGCCTTCTACGCTATCTCAAGGGGACCATTACCACTGGCCTACACCTTCGGCCATGCACGGATAATCGTATTGTAGCCTTTTTGGATGCAGGTTGGGCTTCCGATATTGATTATTGTCGCTCTCAGCATGGCTTTGCCGTATATTATGGTGGCAATTTAGTTAGTTGGGCCTCTAAGAAGCAGCATGTTGTTGCCAAATCCAGCTATGAAGTCGTGTATCGTGCCATTGCCTTCACCTCCACAGAGTTAATCTGGATAAAACAACTTCTACGTGAGCTACATGCCCCTCTTCATGCTCCACCGATTCTTTTGTGTGACAATCTCAGTGCCACTTATATGACTGCCAATCCGGTTTTCCATCAACGATCCAAACATATCAAAATTGATTACCATTTTGTTCGCGAACAGGTTGCTGATGGGTCTCTTGTTGTTCGTCACGTTCGTGCCTTGGATCAGGTTGCCAATATCTTCACCAAAGCCGTTGGGAATTCACGCTTTCAAACTCTCCGTTCCAAGCTCCATGTCGCGTTGCCACCTTGAGCTTGCCGGGGGGTATTAAGGATATTATTTTATGTAATCAAAAATAATTATTAAATAAGTGTTTAAGGAGTTTATTATTTATTGGGCCTTAAGGAGACTCCTTAGGGAACCCTAACATCTTGTATATAAATACTCTTTCATTAAGAAATAAACGCAAGGTTACAAACCCAATTATTATTCAATCTTTCACAGATCGGATCTGATAAATATTTAATTTATTTGCATATTATTATTGATTAAATCTGATCTAATATACATATTCTATTCTACAAAGGAGATGGTAACATAAAATAATGTAAAAACTTTGAATATGAGATCCAAAGTTAATTAACTAAAAAACATATGTTAACCTAGAGAACTTTTTCTGTTATCGAAAATTTGAAATACGAGTTAATTCAAGAGAAATTTGCTCCTAGTAGGACCAAATCATAGCTCTTTTTACAAAAATAATACCTGCTAATGTTTTTTGCATTCATATTACTGATGGAGTATATCTTAGAGAGAAGTGAGAGCTAGAGAGAGAAGTAGTATATTTGCTTTGTATTAGTGAATTCTGAACCCTTACAACTACTCCCAAGGGGAGTATTTATAGAGAAAATTAGGGCTGGGCTCCCAAGTCTCGGGCTTGGGAGGCCCATTTACAATAGGGCCACTAATGGGCCGGATACAAAGTGTATAGAAATGATAAGTACAAAATCCCTTTCTAGAGGCTATCTATGGATGATGAGGGCATGGCCGATGAGGGCATGGCCGATGAGGGCATGGCCGACGAGGTCATTGCCGATGAGGGCACCCGGTTCTCCGGGTTTCTGGATCATATTCTGAGTAGACCTTTTCCTGGCCGATGAGGGCATGGCCGATGAGAACATGGCCGATGAGAGCATGGCCGACGAGGTCACCCGGTGATCGTGGTACCTTCTGTTCTTCTGAGTATGTGGGTCCTGGGGCCTAGACCCATATACTCCATCAGGAGTCCCCCACTCTCTAAGCTGAGACGTTGACGAAGTGAAGGAGAGTAGATTTATGTCCTTTTTTGTTTGGGCGTTGTGTGCTCCTCGATGTGGACGAAGAGGGCCCTAGTCATGTGGATGATGCGTGTTTTCTGTTTAAGGACGACGAGAGCCTTTGCCTGGTGGAGACGATGAGCGTCCTCTGTCATGAGTGGCCGATGAAGACATTGCTTCCTTATTCCTGGTCGTTGATGGCTGAATTTCGTACTTTGGGCCGAGGAGGCCATTGTGGTTATCCCTTGTTTGAGGACGATGGGTGTCCTTTGTTTCGAGGAAGATGAATGTCCTTCATTTTGAGGATGATGAATGTCCTTTATTTTGAGGACGATGAATGTCCTTCGTTTTGAGGACGATGAATGTCCTTCATTTTGAGGACGATGAATGTCCTTCACTTTGAGGACGATGAATGTCCTTCACTTTGAGGATGATGAGGGTCCTGGACCAAAGGACGTTGCGCGCCCTTGGCTCTGTGGACGAAGAATGTCATGCCCTTGTGCTGACTTTAATTGATGGACCTTGTGCCGATGAGGGCATGGCCGATGAGGTCACCCGATTCTCCTGACTTCTGGATCATATTCTGGGTGGCCTTCTTTCTGGCCGATGAGGGCATGGACGATGAGGGCATGGCCGACGAGGTCACCCGGTTCTCCTGACTTCCGGATCATATTCTGGGTGGCCTTCTTTCTGGCCGATGAGGGCATGGCCGATGAGGGCATGGCCGATGAGGTCACCCGGTTCTCCTGACTTCTGGATCATATTCTGGGTGGCCTTCTTTCTGGCCGATGAGGACATGGCCGACGGAGGTACCACTTGGTAGTCCTTGCTTTTTGTTGCTTTCTGGATGATTTCATGTATGTGGAGGCCAATGTAGTCCCACAGTCCCCCACTCCTCGAGGCTCATGTAGTGAGGTGAAGAGGAGTAGAGCAATACACGTTTTCAATAGGGGGCCGAGGGTCGACACCTTTTGATCCACAATGGGGCGGTGCCTCGTTAAAAACCTCATTAGGAAAAACCCTGTGGGAAAAAATCCTAATGAGGGAAAAAGAGCACACCGGATCCCCCAAAATGAACTCCAAGGGGTGAACCCTTCGGCCTAGGTGTGGAGCTGAAGCGGTGTCCGTATGATGAGGGGACGCCCGCCTGGTGGTGAGGACGACGGCGCTGATGAGCCGGTCCGAATATGAGGACGAGGCGATGGATGCCTGTCTGTATGTGAGGACGACAATGGTAATGATCTGTGCGTCATATGAAGGCGACGGTCGCTATCCAGGAAGGGAATTGCAAGCCCGGTCGCTATAACAGTACATCGGCATTGGGAGCCGGTCTTGAGATATTAGGACGACGGCACTGGGGGCCGGTCCGAACTCCATGCAACGGTCGCCATCCGGTAAAGGAATGGCTAAGACCGGTCTTAAGATAGAGCATCACACCATAGCCGGGGGGCTGGTCGTGATGTGAAGACGACGGCGATGAGGAGTCAGTCCTACAATCCATGCAATGGTCGCCATCCGGTGAAGGAATGGCTAAGACCGGTCTTGAGATAAATTATCACGCCTTGGCCGAGGGGCCGGTCGTGATGTGAGTACGACGGCACTGATGAAGCTGCTCGTCGTATGAAGGCGAGGGTCGCCATCCAGGAAGGGAATGGCGAGCCCGCTCGCTGGCTCAAGACGCTCGGCGCTGAGGAGGCCGATCTTGAGGTGAAGGATCACGTTGAGACCGAGGGGTCTGCCGTGATCTGAGGACGACGGCGCTGTCGAAGCCGGTCCAAATAAATGATGATGAAGGCGTTGATGGAGCCATTCGTCATGCAAGCTCGAGGCTCTCGGCATTGAGGAAGCCGGCCTTGAGATGAAGGATCACGTTGAGACCGGGGGGTCTGCCGTGATCTGAGGACGACGGCGCTGATGAAGCCGCTCCTCGTATGAAGGCGAGGGTCGCCATCCAGGAAGGGAATGGCGAGCCCGCTCGCTGGCTTAAGACTCTCGGCGCTGAGGAGGCCGGTCTTGAGATAGATGATCATGCCAAGGCCGAGGGACCAGGCGTGACTTGAGGATGACGACTATGATGAAGCCGATCCAAGTAAATGATGACGAGGCGTTGGTGAAGACGTGCGTCATGTAGTGGCGATGGTCACCATCCAGGAAGGGATGGTGAGCCCGATAGCTGGCTCAAGACTCTCGGCGCTGAGGAGGCCGGTCTTGAGATAGATGAATCATGCCAAGGCCGAGGGACCAGGCGTGACTTGAGGATGACGACTATGATGAAGCTGATCCAAGTAAATGATGACGAGGCGTTGGTGAAGCCGTGCGTCATGTAGTGGCGATAGTCACCATCCAGGAAGGGATGGTGAGCCCGATCGCTGGCTCAAGACTCTCGGCGCTGAGGAAGCCGGTCTTGAAATAGATGATCACGCCTTGGCCAAGGGGGCGGGCATGATTTGAGGACGACGGTGCTGATGAAGCCGGTCCAAATAAATGATGACGAAAGCATTTGACGAAGCCGTTCGTCATGCAAGCTCGAGGCTCTCAGCATTGAGGAAGCCGGACTTGAGATGAAGGATCACGTTGAGACCGGGGGGTCTGCCGTGATCTGAGGACGACGGCGCTGATGAAGCCGCTCCTCATATGAAGGCGAGGGTCGCCATCCAGGAAGGGAATGGCGAGCCCGCTCGCTGGCTTAAGACTCTCGGCACTGAGGAGGCTGGTCTTGAGATGAAGGATCACGTTGAGACCGGGGGGTCTGCCGTGATCTGAGGACGACGGCGTTGATGAAGCCGCTCCTCATATGAAGGCGAGGGTCGCCATCCAGGAAGGGAATGGCGAGCCCGCTCGCTAGCTCAAGATGCTCGGCGCTGAGGAGGCCGGTCTTGAGATGAAGGATCACGTTGAGACCGGGGGGTCTGCTGTGATCTGAGGACGACGGCGCTGATGAGGCCGCTCCTCCTATGAAGGCGAGGGTCGCCATCCAGGAAGGGAATGGCGAGCCCGCTCGCTAGCTCAAGACGCTCGGCGCTGAGGAGGCCGGTCTTGAGATGAAGGATCACGTTGAGACCGGGGGGTCTGCCGTGATCTGAGGACGACGACGCTGAGGAGGCCGCTCCTCCTATGAAGGCGAGGGTCACCATCCAGGAAAGGAATAGCGAGCCCGCTCGCTAGCTCAAGACGCTCGGCGCTGAGGAGGTCGGTCTTGAGATGAAGGATCACGTTGAGACCGGGGGGTCTGCTGTGATCTGAGGACGACGACGCTGATGAGGCCGCTCCTCCTATGAAGGCGAGGGTCGCCATCCAGGAAGGGAATGGCGAGCCCGCTCGCTAGCTCAAGACGCTCGGCGCTGAGGAGGCCGGTCTTGAGATGAAGGATCACGTTGAGACCGGGGGGTCTGCCGTGATCTGAGGATGACGGCGCTGAGGAGGCCGCTCCTCCTATGAAGGCAAGGGTCACCATCCAGGAAGGGAATGGTGAGCCCGCTCGCTAGCTCAAGACGCTCGGCGCTGAGGAGGCCGGTCT